ACAGGAAGTTCCACCTCCATGTGAGGAAGAATGTCTTTCCTGTGAGGGTGACAGAGCCCTGGAACAGGCTGCCCAGAGAGGTTGTGGAGTCTCCTTCTCTGGAGATCTTCCAAACCTGCCGGGACACCACGTTGTGCCACGTGCTCTGGGTGTCCCTGCTTGAGCAGGGGGGTTGGACTAGATGATCTCTAGAGGCCCCTTCTAATCTTAACCATTCTGTGATTCTGTGATGTTCAGTATGTGGAGAAAAAAAATGCACGCAATACAATATATTTCTGATTGCCTTAGGTTCCAGTTCAGCAAGATACTTAAATGTATGCTTGGTCCCATTGGAACTAATGAACTGTTTAAGTGCCTAGCATTGCATATGCTCTTGCTAACCTGATTTTAATGCCAGCTACGAGCAGGACAACTCATTTTGCTAGTCCTTTCATGGCAATCAAACATGTATATCAGTTTTACTGTGCTGATTAATGTACTGTCAGTGAAATCCCGTAAATTTATAATAACAGGGAGTGATTCTCTTAAGTATTTCACAGTGAACAATCACAAATTATCTGCTAGTCTTTTGTCTCTCCTTGCTCTGATTAATTTAGATGTAGGTTATCACAAGCTCTTTTTATTCTCAGGATTCCAAGCAGGATGCCAGACATGTGAATGCCCCCTAACATTTTTAAAACACATGCGTGGATCTGCTATGTAGCACATGAGCAGTAGAGCCCAACATTTCCTGAGGGTTCATTTCATATGATTTTATTCTGTTGCCTACATAAACATGAAAGGATGATAGTCCTTGCTCTGCCACTGCACACATTGCTCACATTGTGCATATGCAGCTATTCTAACTTTTTAGCATGTGAGGATTTAACACACCCACACAGAGCAACTGCTCTTGGTGCAGGAGCACCAAACCTACTCTACACTCGTGCACACACAAGGTACAGTCGCGTGGCATGCGCTGGGAGCCAGTTAAATCCCACTGGTCAGATTTACTAACCACATGCCGACTCTGCACAGCGCACGCAGAGCCAATCTGACACTTGCCAGAAGCGTTGGGTTGGTACCAAGTAGCCATGTGCAGTTCTGCCCTGTGGGCCCCAGCGACATGGAGCCCTTAAGGATTCCTATTCTGCCCCAAAGGGACTTTTCCTGCTTCTTCCCGCTGTACGAGTCAGACCAGCACTGGGAGACCTGCTCCATCGCTGTGGGTTACGTGCTCCGGCATCACCGCGTGGTGGCTGCGGCCACGCGCCGAGTGCTAGTACTGGGCCTTCTAGACGTCTCAGGAATTCATTACTTGAATTTACAAGAGATGACTGCAAATGAGGTGAGCAAAGGAAATGGCAAAAATGCGGAAAGACTTCTCAGGGAAAAAAAAAGAGTTAGTTATTAGCATTCAAGTTATTAGCATTCAAAGGCTTAAGCAAATGCACAGCAGGCAGCAGTCACTAACAGCTTACAGTGTCTTTCATTACATTTATTATGCTTTAGCCAGTAGAAGCACTTATGTCTGATGAACCCTGAGGGTCTGAGGAGAGGCTCTGGGGCCTCGAGGTTGTTCTTTAATGCCATCACAAGCTCCCGAAGTCCTGTGTGTTGTCTGCACACAGATGGGACACCTACAGCAGAAACTGGTGACTAGCCAGCACAGCCTTGGGCATCTCACATGGCTTTGGAGCCCTGTCCTTTGGCACCTGATCTACTCTGTCAGTATCTTCATGGTCCTTCGGCCACACATTTTGTTCAAAGAACAAGGACTACAGCTCTTTCTTGTGCAGTTCTTCACATGTGGAAAGCTGACAGAAAGTACAGCAACTATAGCTGGTAAAACATAAGACACAATTTAGTGAGCTGGAAAAAGAACTTACAAATGATTAAAATCTCTAAGGATGTGAGAAACTGTAAACTTAGAAGGGATTCTGGGGCGCCTGGACAATCAGGGAAGAACAAAGAAGACTAAGAATCCTGAGGCAGAGTTAAATATTTTCTTTGTATCAGTTTCAATCACAAATGACATTGGGAAAATATCTGCAGTAAAATCATTCATTTTCAGGTAGCAAAGGCAGACTTCTGCGAGAGGCTCTGCTGCTAAAAGGAAAATACAGGAGTAATTAGATGTATTAAATAGCAAGAAGCCACCCAGGTTTAGTTGTGTAAAGTTCTCCTTTTAGATTTATCCTGATTATCCTGCATAAGACAGACTGGAGCTAGTTTAGATGGGAATGTCACCAGAGTTAATTATTTCAAATTCGGCTTAGTTTTGTTTTCCAGAAATGCAAAACAACTTAGGAAACTCTGGAAAATACTGCTCTCCACACAAAAAAAAAGGTTCACTCTTTCTTTTCTGTTTCCCATTACTCAGCTAATCACTTGGTTAATGTTTTGAGCAAATAAACAGTGATTTTTGATCATTTTACCACGACTGCTTAACCAGATGCCTTTTAAGTGTGGAGCCCAGAATTTCTGGGTCTTGCCAAGGTTATGTGTGCAGAACACTTCATAAGCCACAATAAACATTTTTTTCAGCCAAACATTTGCTGTCATGATTAATGGGACACAGTTATTTGCAAGCCTATTTGGTTCTTATGCAATCTTTTTATTAACAAACCCTTTGAAAAAGAAAGGACCTTTGTGGCCTCTGCACATGTTGCTGGTGCCTCCCATGAGCATTGGTGGAAAGGGTTTTCTCTGGGGGAATGCGATCTGAAGTGACTCCATTCAGAAAACAGGTCTTTTGCAACCCCAGGCAAAGCTGAAGGTGCCAAAAGGTTTGGAAAGGGCACGTCAGTCTTCAGGACATGTTAGAGGATGGCTTAAGTCCACTGCTCTCTAATGGGCCTGCTCTAAAGGGATTGGCATCTATGTATCATCTGAGTGACTTCTGCCAGCCAGCGCTTTCAGCTGAGACCCGTCCACCCAAATGTCAGGTAGGCTCATCCCCCCCGGGCTCAAGAAGGCCCAGGAACCCAGTCGTGCTGGTGCTGGTGCTGGTGCTGGTGCCAGTGCCGGGGCTGAGCTCCCTCCATGGTTGCGTCCACATGGGACCAGCCATCGTGGGACAGGAGCAGCCAGGACACCTCTTATGGAGCGTGCATTGCACTTTCCTGCTCAGGCTGGACTCTTTTGCAATGGATAGCGTTCAGAGGAGACTTGCTTACTTTGGGAATTTAACTAATTGGAAAGGTATTTTTCCCTAGGCCACAAAACC